GGTCTATCGCGATAGCTTAATTTCTCTATCGAGTAAAAGTTATATCGCGATACATATCGTTATCGTTCTATCGCCCAGCTCTAGCTTCAAATAATTCACTAATGAGAGGTGGGATAGTAGTGTGAGGGCAGATCAAGCATAACTTCCAGTGATGGTGAATCATTTTCTGCTTCCACCAACCAGTCAAACGATACTTTATGGCCACGTCTCTCCAGATATAATATTTGAATAACTTCAGTAATTACTCAGAATACAATAGCACAAATCAGACTGAAGAGGTGGGAAAAAAAATCTAAGATCCTCACTGCCAACTAGACTAAAAATGAATCAAATCCATCATTAGAATATCGATTGGGTCAATACTGTGATGAAACCGGGAAATCGTCATTTCTTATCTTTAATCGATAATCTTGCCCCATCAATGTGTCTGTTGTGGTTCTATCCATTAACCTAACTTTCCAGATTTACGGGAATCATGCACATACACAATTATCTATACAACTGTAATATTCCTTGTGAGTTCAGGTGAGTTCAGCTGTAAATGTTGGTAATTTTGATGAAAAATATTAACAGCGAGGAACCTTGTTTTTGTATTATGGTTCAAGAAAGACATGAAAACCTACAGAAAACGGAAAATGCCAACTGAGAGGATACAGTTCTCACTTTAATAGGTTTTAAAGTTATGCACTGATTACAAAGATTATAGCAAGAACACCTAAAAAATGCATGTATCCTACGCAGCACTGTATTTTAATTTTCACTTTTGTAAGAATTGCCTACTCTAGTAAGAAGTACCTGCTAGATCACAGTAGATACACTGTAAAATAACAGTATGTTGTCAAATCTAGCTGCCAGTACTGTTATTTAACAGTGTTCATCCAAACCAAAACATCCTGTAAGTAGAAACAAATAGCCACACAGTTTGATGAAAGCATAGGGGTTCTCCATCTTGGGGAGGGGTCAGCAACCTTTACTATGAAAAGAGTCATTTTTAAGAACAAACATCACCGTCAGCAATTTGTGTGCAAAATGCAATCATGCATTTTGGCCACATTTCGCTTTCCCGCTCACTGACGGCAGTCCTGTACCGTCTGACAGCTGCTGCCTGCAGCCCGAGGCTCCGTGTCTAACTGACAGCAAACCATGTGACGCTTCTCTGGCAGTGAGAGGCGAGAGCAGAAAAAACGAAAGCAGATCACAGAGAGTATGGCGTTCCACAGACTGAGTCAAAGAAAAGGACAACTCAGCCTTGTTCCCACACATACAGCTGTTCTCCCAGCTCACTTCTAACCAGACCAGAACTACATCACGGAGGCCATCCTGGTCTAAAATAGCCTCCGTGGCAGCTCCCTCCAGCTCAGCACGGAAACATAAAGCCTGCAAACGGGACGTAGGCCCTGGGAGTCTAAGCTCAATCTGTTGCATGCTGCAGGCAACACGACCGAAGATTAACCTGTTTCCCCTGCTGTTCACATTTGACTGCATGGAAGCACGCTTTCTAGAAAATTCAACCCAAGCATGAATGAATGCAGCTACAACAGGGTTTGTGAAAACAGAGCTGAAATGATAAAAGAAATCATCTATCAGCTAACAGGTTCATGCAACTTTCTTGATAAGTGATTCATCCTCCTGGTCTGCACAATAGAGCCACACGGAAATATTTCTACTGTCAACAAACGGACCTGCACTCTTTGCTTTTTGACTTTTTTGGGGGGGAGGTCATCTTTTCAAGGAGTATGTAAGAACAAGTGATCTGACAGACTGGGAGGGAGTGAACAGTCTTTGTTGACATATCTCATGTTTCCAAGAAATTCAACTTGTTTGGCAGGAGAGAGCTTGAAGGTGGGGGAGGTTCCTATAGCCTCCAAACTTTCTTCAGAGGCTCAGAAACAACACTTCATTAAAGTCATGAAGGTAAAGCAACAAAATTGATTATGATTTTGTTGCTCCTTTCTCCACAAGTCACTTCAAATCTTAATTCTCATGCTGGCAGATCACTGACACATTTTAAAATGCCTAAATCATCTTCTTTTACTCGCATGGACTTAAGTATAAATCAGGTTCTTATACATATGATAAGCACTAGTAACCCGATTCCTGCACTCTTTTAGTGCAGGTTATGTTTACAGATGCAAATCAAAGTTTTTGGAACAGTAAATCTGACAACCATGTAACTGTTTCCCAAACTCAAATTCTTCATGCTAAGTTGACTTGAGCCACTGTATGCATATTTTTTTCCTCATGTAAAACATTAAACATATATATTTAACTGTTTCATTGCTAAAATTCTGTTGCTTCAGTCCTGTGGTTTGTCCCTAGTATAACTGGAGGAGCGCACTACTGGCACAGTTGTAAAGCACTTTAACAATGGACAAACTGAAAGGGGAAAAAGACTGCATAACTACACCTGCCATTGTCTGCATTTCTGTTATAACACTTTGCTAAAGCTGTGCCTTGCAAGGGTCATGTGTGTTATTCATGTTTCTTTTGGGCTCACTTACAGGTACTAATTAATATGAGCAACAACAACGGGCAGCAAAAGGGCAGAATTATAATAGCACAAAGTTAAAAATCTATTTAAATTACTACATGGTCTTAGCAGGTGGGGTGCTGCGTAAGTAAAGTAGAGAGTTTGGGGGGGTTTCTGCCCCCTGCTGGTCAAAAATCACCTGGTGCCGCTTTAAAGCGTAAGCTTACACATTTTGGTTGGGAATAGGAAAAATGGCAAGTTTAATAGTCACTGCATGGTTGTTTACATATTCATTACAGACGGTGTATTTCTGATTATACTTAGAGCTAGATTAATAATAACTAAAACTAGTCTATGAAATACACCTGGAAACATTTTGGGAAGACAAAAAGCAGACAATAAAACAGCAGCACTTCTTTCCAGTTGCTTGCATTGGGCAGTTTTCCCATCGCAAAGTGTTCTCAGTGTTCAGGGTGTGAACATGTGCAGACAGCAGGCAGGTGAGGAGCCTTACCTATTTCTCTCCGAGCCGGAGGAACAAACCAACACCAGATCCTCCTTGAGCTGCAGCCTCTCCCCTACTCTTTCACCACCTCCTGTCACGCTAACAGTAAAAAACAAAAGCAAATACTCCTTTTTTAGGCTTCCACAAAGTGCGACATCTTGCAAGTTGTCTCTCAAGTCGTCCGTCGACCTCTCTCAGCCATTTACACTCCTCCAGCCACAGCACTGTTTCAACAAACTCCCATAATAACGGCGGGCTCGGTTCCTGCTCGGCTCGGTTAAAAAAAGAAAGAAAAAGAAAAGTAAAGTTATAGCCTGCACGCTGAGAGAAAGGGAAAAAAATAATGATAACGCTAATTAAAAAGGAAAAGGAGCGCGTTTGTATTCCCTGGCAGGAACCAAACGCCGTCTGTGCTGGTAGGTGTACGGACGTGTCTTCCCCCCTCCGGTGCCTGCTGGCGTTTCTGTGTAATCAGATGCTGCTCACCACAATATCCATTCATCCTATTACAGGTTAACCCTTCACTGTCTGCGGGCGGCTGCATGCTGCCCTCCAGCGCTCTCACACATCCATCGCAGACTCTCTGACCAAGGCACTGAACACATAAGCGCAAACCACGCCCAATTACAAATACAAATATTCACATTTATTTAATAAAAAACAGCTTTGAATTTAGAACATTTAAAAATAATTTTAAAATTTTATTACCGTTTACATTTTCATAAAATGACTTTTATATATACATTTTAATTTTAAATCTCCAAACTTATACACAAATACAATGTACAATCGGAATATTACCAACAGTATATAAATATTTTGGGGATCTGTGCTGAATGGTTTACAAAACCTTCCTCCCAGGTGGAAACAGGTTTCATTATAACTTCTGGACACGCACCTGAAAACCTGCGACTCTGAAAACAGAGGATGGCTGTTACGAGAATCAGTGTGATAATGAATTTTAAACGTTGGTGTCCATTCCTGTATAGTTTTCCTTTCGACATACTGCATATTTGTGGCCCGCATTCAATTTAGATTTGACGTTTCTCATCTATTTTCTTGACAAACAGCGCCATCCTCAGGAGCAAAGCATGATCCCAACAACACAGGTGTGAACAGGTGAGACAGAATTCTTAGCAGTCAGCTCCCAAACAGCAACTGAAGTGATTTCATTGATCAAAGCGCATTTGAAAATAGACAAGCACGTTTCTCCATCAGCAAAAAAAAATGATACCACTTGAAGGAACATTAAACCATGCCACAAAGTGTCATTTTGTTTTTTGTTTTTTTAAATATGACTTTAGTTTAATTCAAAAGAAAGCAATGCATTATTTTAAGGAAAAATAAACACTTGGCTGATTAAAGCTGATCTTTCAGTCGACATTTCAGCAGGTTTAAGACAGTAGGAAAGATGGCAGTCAGTGGCCTGGGACCACAAAAGTGCACATGTTGAAATAAAGCCCCATCAGAGAGGAGTCAACAGGTGAAGGCAGACTCCTCTGGATGTCCTCACTGCTCCTCTGCTAACAGCACTCTGAAGTTCTTCAGCTCCCTGACGCTCGTGGAAATCCTGCGCAGGATTCAGGAGGACACAGTTAAAATAATAAGTACAAAATAATGAAAAAAATACTCCAGTATGTTTTAACTAATATTAAACCCAGTTTCTCTGCGAATATTATATTGTAGCCTCAATTTACAGAAAATTTAGGCAAGTTTTGCACTATTTTGATTTCATGTTGAACATATTTGTTTTAACTTTTGTTTTAAATGAGTGTGAATTTCCAATAAGATCAGTACTCACTTATGTAAGTTCCTATTATAGAGATAAACTTGTTCTAAAGTGACAGACTTAGGAGTTTGATATTGATTAAACTTACTTTTGTATTTACACACAAAGTAAGCATTTAGTAACTCAAATATCAGTCTAAATTTCCTGATAGCTCAAGCACTCAGCTCAAGAAGGAATTCGCAAAGGAGATGCATAGAAGGCTTCTGAATAATAAATGGCGCATGCTCATTTATCATATCCAAAAATCATTTTCAGGTTTTAAAAGTGCTTCAGATACAATAATAAACTAACGCGCAGGCAACAAAAGCTCTCCAAGGAGCAGAGTGGGTGTGAGCTGGAACTAAGGAGATTTTTTTAAATATGGCACATGTATGACTTGATGTCCACAGCCTCTCTCTCTGACCTTCCAAAGGCATTGAACAGGGAGACGATCTCCTGCCGGCTGAGCTGGAAACTGGGTCGCTGGTTACTGGATTTGGGCAGAGCTTCAATCTGTCGCTCTGAAAACAAAATCTTCAAGGCTGTGCCTAATCCCTGGGTCTGTGACACGAGAGGCAGCGATCAAAACAAACAAAAAAATCAAGTTCATCTTTACAAAAGAAGCGCTACAAGCTAACGAGAGGCACTAAGAGGAAAGTAACAGGTACCTGCAGTTTCCCCCACAGGCGACACTTAAAGCACCCAACACAGTCCATGATCCTGGAGATGTTGAGGAAGGCCAGTCTGATATCCTCCTGACATTCACAGAAAACTCAGGTCATTTTAAATCTTGAAAGTTACCCACACAAATTAAAACTGCAACTCCAGTCAGTATTACTGTGTGTTTGCAGCAACCCTGCGTACACAAGATCACTCCCAGCAGCTTTGTTAATGCGATAAAAGGTTTCAAAGCATCGGCTTCCCCGTATCTCTGTATCTGCATTCACTCTGCAGCTAGAGCATTTTTTGATGCATCAATGTTTTTACAGCACAATTTCACGTAGAGTTCTAACTGGCGTGGCTAGAATACAACTGAATGCTTTTATGCAGTTAAACCAGAAGGTTAATTATAAATCATTTTGAATTTTATGAGCTCAAACAATCAACAATATGGGTGGGGAGCATTCTGAAAATATTAATTAACATCCCTGTGAATATGTAATCAGTTGGTGCATTACGTCCACAATATCAATAACTTAACAATAACTTCAGCAGAGTTTGAAACACTTGCTGACCTTCAGTTTGGCTGCTTCCTTTTCATCCCCAGCAAACAGAGAAGCCTCATCAAAGTGCAAAGGGAAAGATCTAGAAAAGAGGAGATGAACGTCATCAAAACATTGCATGGAAGTCCGTTTTTATTTTATTTATACAGCGCCAAATCACAACAAAAGTCGCTGCAAGGTGCTTTATATTGTAAGGTCGATCATACAATAATACTAATAATAATAATAATAATAATAATAATAATAATAATAATAATAATAATAATCTGCCGTGACCAGTTGCAGTAAAAAAAGGAAGACAGGATAAAAGACGTGCTGTGGAAGAAAGACAGAGATTAATAAAGAAAGAAGTGTGAAGTGCGAAGAAGTGACCAGAGTTAGTACAGTGTTGTATTATTTAATTTGTTTTTAGCTTTTATTGTTATTTCATTTGGACTTTTTGTTATTAATTTAGTGTAGTTTCAGTTAGTTTCAAGAGTACAATTTCTTTTTTCGGTTTAGTTTTTATTGTTTGAACTTGTTTAGTTTTTATTAGTTGCAGTTTTAGTCTTTTTAGTGATCACTGTAAGGAGGGCATATGCCAGAGGCAAGATTTGGGGATATTGGTACAGGTGTAATAATATAAACACGCTGAACTTCTTGAAAGCAGTTGACTCACAGTTTATAATAAACACACCTATCCATGACTTATCAAGCAAGTTATAATGACATTTGTATTTCATTTTAGTTAGTTCTCAAAATCACTCCAGTTAGTTTGAATTTTTTCAAAAGTCTAGTTTTTATTTTATTATTATTTTTATTATTAGTGAACTACAACACTTTCTCACATCTAGTTGTAGTTTTCAGTTTATTTTTAGCTAACTATATTAACCTTGGCAGGGACTGTGATTAAACTGTTGGACTTTAAAAAGCATTGCTGTAAAACCACAGGTGTCATATGTCAGAATCTGTTGCCTACATTTCCCAGAGTGCAGAGTGCTAACAATTCAATTCAATTCAATTCAATTCAATTTTATTTATATAGCGCCAAATCACAACATAAGTCGCCTCAAGGCGCTTCATAACAGTGCTCACTTCTTTCTAACACCACCCATCCACATCCACTTTTCTGATCAGAAACCATACAGTTCAGATGTTTACATTCATATCCATTTTGTGATGGTAAATGGCCTGCATTTGTATAGCGCTTTTCTAGTCCCTAAGGACCCCAAAGCGCTTCACACTACATTCAGTCATCCACTCATTCACACACACATTCACACACTGGAGATGGCAAGCTACATTGTAGCCACAGCTGCCCTGGGGCGCACTGACAGACATCACTGACACTGACAGTGATGTTGTCAATAAGCTATTTGACTCGTGCCAATTTCACTCTGGAGCATGACAGCGAGGGCAAGCGTACGGCCAGAGTCACAAGGAAAACTTCAGCCACGAGAAGTACAAGGACTCTTGCAGAAGTTGATCTGACCATCAAGTTGCCCTGATCTCAGCTTCATGGGTCAAATCCACAGCAGAACTAGGGCAAGATCTTCGAGCTGCACCTTGACAACCTGAGTGTAAATCTATATCAAATCAGGCATTTCTAATTAGCGCACTTTGAGTGAAATTAACTGTTAAAAAACACAATATGGTTGATCTTTCATTTATAGAACATGAATACTAGGTATCAAGAAAAAAAGGGCATGCTGTATTATACCTTTATTCAGTGAAAGTCTAACAATGATTGGTGTGGTCTGAGACCAACCTGGCCAGCTGCAGGATGTCCAGCAGCTGCTCCTTGTGTTTCTGGTCCTCCTCGGGTCTGCCCGTGTACAGCTGGAAGGATGACTGCTGGAAGAACGGCAGAACTTTAGCCAGTGCTCGCAGCTCTATCAGGTAAAGGAAGTAAAGGTTGCGGAGCCTCTTGGGCCCTTCGCCGACCGTCAGCTCCGAATCAAAACGCTGTCTGAACTCCGACACATTGTGACCCCACTTCTTCTGAAACCAGCTGTCTGAAGGAAAGAAGGCAATAAAAGTGAGTGTCAGTTATTTTGACTCTTCAGACAAAAGGAAAAAGAAAATGAACAAGGGCTGTTTTTTTTCTGCCTCACCATCCAGCAGATATCTGGCACTCAGGTGTATGTTAATGCTGGCGTGCAGACCTGAGACAAGCCGGAAAAAAGCCCTTTTCTCCACACACTGGCCTGAGAGAGAAAGGCAGAGAATTTATCGAAAACTCGACAAAAAGAGAATCTTAAGGTGTAGCATCAGCTTACCTTCCAGCCAGCTGTAGAAGGTCCTCGCTGCAAACAAAGTACGTGTCATCAGAAATGGAGAAAACAAAACAAAACTGC